CTCACTGGGGCTTCCTGTGAATCAGGGCAGATGAATGAAAACCTTCAAAGCAGAACAAAAGAAAGAACTTTTTTTTTTTTTTTTTGGCAAATGCAAATTATTAGTAGTTTGATGTACTGGGTTTTACACTCACAAATAAAACTTTTTTTAAAAAATGAGAATGTGATATTAATGATCTTTGATGTCTGAGAATCATTGGTCTGAGTTCTCTTCACCTACTTCAAGTAGACTGACTTAACTTTTCTAGGAGGACCTGCTCCTTGTACAGCTTTCGACTAGTGGGAAGATGTAAGCACACTACTGTGCTTTGCAGGAGCGCCCTATCTATAGGTGTGTATTCTCCAGACTACTTTAACTCTGCATGGATGAGATTTGAACTGATTTACCTAACAATTCCAACTGAAGAACATTTGTCCTGTGAAGCCCACATGCTCTAGGTTGCTCATTTTAAAAGCACCCTACGTCCAGTAGAAGAAACAGGGTCATAGGAGAATCCCCTTTGAATCTGAGAATGACAATGTGATTTGGATATGTGCACATTTAACTTCAGATTTTCTACAGTCGAGAACGCAATTGACCGGTGTTTGAATGACTTTAGTGCTGCAAATATTTGGCTCTGTGACAAAATGCAAATGCTAATTGATATTCAGAATCTTCAGTCTTCAGAGAAATCTCCTGTTGACATTTTAATAACGTTGTTTGGAATGATTTCCGAAGTGTGGTGACTGCAACAAACCCGCAGTCACAAAAAAGTACATATTGTTTCTGAAAGCAAACAAGCTCGAGTTTCATCCGGTTTTCTAGAGGCTTCAAAACTGAGAGAATGAGCTTCTCGAAGGCAAATGGCTGAATTCATTAAGTCGCTCAGTAGTTTATCAATACAATGGAAAACTTACTGTTTCTGCTTAGTAATCTTGTAATTAAAAAAAAAAATCCAGATTTGATTATTTACCCTCAAGCAGAAGACACCCAGTTTCTAAACTGTTATTTTTATTTATTTTCTCCTACCATGATATTGTTGTGGTCTGGTCCTTTCAGCTTGTTGCTGTCGTTTGCTGACACTGTCAGCAGAGAAGGACAAGGAGTTGAGAGAGAGGGACAAGAGCTTACGCGGTCTCAGTGCAAGGAAACGGGAGACAGATCTGAGAGGGCTGTGAATGTAGAGCCTTGCAGTCTCCTTTCCTTCCGTTGCATATCCTGGTGAGTTTAATCAAAAACAAACAGAACGCCCTTGTGAAATATAGTCAATAAAGTCAAAGTTTAGCTAGCTGTATGTAACTACAAAGAAAAAGTCATCTCAATTAAAAAAAAAAAATGTAACTTTCGTTAACGAGCGCGCCGGAAATCTCAGGTATCAAAGACGCATTAGCCCTGGAGCGTCCCCTGCGCGCCGCAGCCGGACGGAGTCAGCCGCTGCGAACAGACCTCCTTTCTCCTGCGAGCGGTCACACAAAAGGAGGGCTGCGGAAACTAAAAGTTTCGGGGCCTCCGGCTCGGGGCGCGCGGAGCAGAGAAAACCTGGAGACGGGGTGGGTAAAAGACGCTTCCAGAGCGTCCCGACGCAGTCCTGGCAAGGAGTGAGCTCCTAGGCCTGGAGGGGAAGAGGGAAATAGGGAGCGGGGTCCCGAGCTGCAGGCCCCAGCATCCCCAGTGCCCGGACCCCGGTAGCCGGCACGTCGAGCTCTCCCAGATCCCCTGCACCGGGATCCTTGAATAAAAAGGATGTTTGGAAAGTGCATGTGTGCGCGCGGGCTGTAGAGAGTGCAGCCGGCTCGCCGAGAGTGGAGTTGCGGCGGGATGGGGTGGGGGGTTGGGGGGAGATGCAGAGGGTGAAGGCTGGATACCGAACCCCGGGACCTGGCTGGGGGCGGGGGTGGGGGGAGACGCCAGCCGATAGCCAGGGGGAGGAGAGAGGAGGGGCGCAAGCTTGCGCGGGCGCCTTTGGGGCGCGTTCCGCGGCCGTGCGCGCGCGTCCCCCGCCGCCACCGCCGCCACCGCCTCCCGGAAAGCCCTGTGGCCGCCCCACCGGGCCGGCCAGTCTTGGGGCGGCTTCTCGGCGGTCGCCGCCGCCACCCGAAAGGCTAGATCGCCTGTAAGTGTCCCCTTCGCTCCTCCTCCTCTTTCTGCCCTGCGCTCGGGCGCCCCGCAGCCGCAGCTGCTCCAATGGAGTGGAAAATGGCCATTGGGCGCAATGAGTTCTAGATTATCTGCTCCGCGTTTTGTACTCAGCTGCCTGTCTTCTTCGGAGTTTGCACAAGCCCCTTAGCTGGCAAACGCGGGAGGGAGAGACGGATGCTGCGCCGCGGTCCACGCTCATATGTTTATATGATTAGCAGTCCTGGGGTGGGGTGGGGGCTGGGGGTGGGGACTGAGGAGGAGGAGGCAGGAGGTGACTCCAGTTCAGCCCTAGCTGAGTCCGTGTCAGGACTTCGGGCTCCCCGTCTCTGGCTCCCTGCTCTCCTCGCTCTCCTCTAGCTCTCACTCTCTCGGCTCTCACACACACACTCACACACTCACAGGCACACACTCACACGCACACGCACGCAGAGGTGCCCGAGCGCCATCGGGAGCTTACCGGAGGATTCTTGGCGACTGTTGAGGGGACCAGCCTCCCTCCGCGGCTGTGCATCGGCGCGGCTCTTCCCTGCTCCTCCCGGCGCTTTCCCCGAACCCGAGTTCCTCGTCTCCTGAGTCCGCAGAGCTCCCCCCCAACCCCCAGGCCAGGAGCCCCGACATGTGAGGAAGGGCCGGCGGCAGAGTCCTGCCCCAGGCCGCAGGGGCGGCGCGTGCGCCGGATGCAGGTCCTGCCGGCGCTGCCCGCGCGCTCCGGGCTTCTCCGGACAGACTGACGGACTTGGCCTCGCTCCCCCGCGCCGCTGCCAGGAGACTCCCTAGTCGGCGCACCTCCGCCTGCCTCGCTCTCTGATCCCGCATCTTTTGGTTTTGAATTTTGCTTTTTTGGCTCCGAAGGGAGCGTGCGGGGGTAGGCGCGCGCGCGCGCGGGCAGAGCCCCTGTGTCGCGGAGCGGCGTGTGGGAAACTGCGGGAAGATGTTGACTTAAGCCCCCCGGCAGCCGCCCGGGCCGCTGGGCTGCTTGGCTGGACTCGGCGGCTCACGGCGGTGGAGACTCGAGCCGGAGGACACGCCGAGGAGCCGCGCGGCGCCGTGTCCGGCCCGCCAGCCGCGGCTGCTAGCTCGCCGCGCGCGCTCGGCCACCAGGAGCACCCGTGCCGGTCGCCGCGGCCCCTCTCGCCCGTGTCCCCGCACGGCTCCCAGCGCCAGCTTGGCCCTCCCCCGGGGCGCACGCCGAGGTAAGCGACAACAATGTGCCTCGGTGCCCGACTTCGGAGACCTGTTTGCTGGGCGCCTCCGGACGGAGGGGCTGACGCGTCGGAGGTGGCCGTGTCGTGGGGTCAGACCTGCGCTGGCCACTCGTGCGCGGCCCTTCCCGCCGACATCGATCCGCAGAACTCTGTACGGTGCAGCCCGCTCGCCGGGCCGCGTGTGGCTATTGTCACGCTCTCGGGAATCAGGCTGGCTGCTGGGGATCGAGGAGGCGGGGGTGGGTGGGGGGTGCGGGCTAGCGAGGCGGCTCTAGCCTGGTCTTGCATCTGGGGGGGGGGGGCATTTCTCAAAACGCTTGGCTACCAGAAGGTGCCCTTGGTTCTTTACGCAGCGGGGCTGGGAGGGGACTGTGAAGTGCGTTTTCGATCGGGCTGTCCCGCCCCAGGTGTTGGGCCTCAGGCTCGGCAGGGACTCGTCCGTGGGTCGTCCCCGGGAGCGAGTCCCTGGGAAGGGGACAGTGGGGGAGGGCGCGGATGAGTTGTTGCGGGCCGTGGTTTCTCGTCGTTGGTCAGGTGGTGCGGAGAAGCGAGGATGAGAGGAAAGCACACCCAGATGTGGCTGCGCCCGTTTTGAGGCTGGCAGCGATTAGGGGCTCCTGCTGGCGGGGTCGGGGGAGCCCGGTGACGGGGCGGGAGAGTGGCGGGGCCCGGGGACTCAGCGGGCCGGGGCCAGGGCAGAGAAGCTCCCGGACCGGCAGTGAGAGGGCAGCAGCGGGCCGCGCTGGGCCTGCAGGAGAAGTTAAGGGGCGTGGGCTCCCGGGCTGCCTTTGGGGTGGGGAGCCTCCTCGGTCGTGTGCGAGCCCCGGGTTGGAAGCAGCAGGGAGAAGGAGTCGTGGGAGGAGCGCGAAGGGAAGGAGACCCTTGGGGTCGCGGGCGTGGGCTCCTGGATTGGAGACCCTTCGCCACACCACAGAGGCGAGGGCTACCCACAGCGAGAAGGCGTCCCTGAGTGCGCAGGACTCCTGCACTTGGGCCAGCAAAGTTTTTTTTTTTTCTTCTTCTTCTTTCTTTCTGTTTCTCTCTGAACTGCAGGGTTTAGGTTAGAAGAAATCACTGGAGGCTTTAGCGAGTGCGGGGCTGTCTCTGAGCAGAGGCCGAGGCACGTGCGTCTTCCTGGGTGTTTATAGCCCTTGGTCCAGCCTGTCCTCCAAAAGTAACGTCCTGCGCTGGCCACCATAGCCCTTCCCTGGCGTGTGGGGGCTCCTCCCCCTCCCTCCTTCCCTCTCCCCCCCCCCCTTTCCGGCCCCTCCATTCGGTTCCTCCACACACAAACTGTGCTTTCTCACATTCAGACGGAGGAAACGTTTTCCTCCTGCTTCATGAAAGGTGTCAGGCTGCTCAGCAGCTTCTCCAGGCAGCCTGGGCGCGCCGGAGTCTCAGCGGCAACCAGATGGTAGCGGTTACAAAGGCCAGGTTTCCGAGGAGCCCCCCCCCCCCCGCTGCTGTTTCTCCTGCTTTCCCGGGGTCTGGGTTCCCCCATTCCAGAGGCGTCGTTTCTCCAATAGCTGGTTCATTCATTTCTCTCCCCCCTCCCAACCCCCCGCAGTCTTATCGTGAGCGGGTCCTCCGAGTTGAGGTTGCCTACCTCTAGTTCCAACCTTGAAGAACGGCACGCCCGTTTGGTCAGGGGTTGCCTGTCAGGAGTTCGCTTGCTGAGTCCGGGTCTGTGATGGGTAAACATCAAGAAACTGGCGCTAAAGCGGCACCAATTCGACCACAGAAACACAGACGTTTTGGGGGGTGAACGGGACAGCGTCCAGGTTGGATAGAACTGTCTCGAGCCTAGCCAAAGGTAACAACTATAAATGGTAGAGTGTTCTTTGATGTTTACTGGGTACCTTTGGAGACGCCTAAGAAAATCTGCCTAAGTTCAGGTGTGCTTTCGAACTTTGTCTTCCTTCCCTCCACCGTCCAGTAAACTGGCGCGTGATGGAATCCGAAGGAACGCACGCTCTGCTATCGAGTTCCTTTTGTTGCTTCGCTCTAAAAGAGGTGCCATTTCACGTGCTGCTCAAATTGTTTGAATTAATGCAAGTGTGAATTCTTACCGTTTGAACGGAACGATTAGCATATCAAAGGTTTCTCAGCTTCAGTTCAATTGAGAAAACTGCAGCCTGTCTTCGTTTTGCTTCCAAGCAGAGGCCCAAAGGGCAATGGGAATTGTAAAGGGTGCAGGGTGGAAGGAGCATCCAGGCTGTGCTGCCGAACTTTCCCTGTTCTGCAATTATGTGAGCTAAGAAACATTGTCTGTTGCTCTGGAGCGCTTTTGCAGATGGCAAGACTATTTTCTGTTGATGAATGGTTTGTTCTTAGGAAAACGGTGACCTTTTGTTTTAGGATAGTCTCTGTCGCATTTCTTTTGGGGTGTCCTTAGTGGAAGACTCTAAGAAAGCTTTACCGTCTAACCTAAAGCTTTTCTAAGACACATTTTGCTCTGTTATTACAACTAGACGGGCTTCCAATTAGTCTATCAACAATAGCTATTTTGTGCAAGACACTCATTGCTACACATTGGAAACATATATATATATATATATATATGTACATATATATTTGTTAAATTAATGGGGAATAAAAGGATGTCGAGCTTGTTGAAAATTAAAAGCCCATGTGAGCTTTATTAACACAACTTCTGATACAAGTATCAGCTTAGAAAGGGTTTCTAAGTGACAAAGACTCAAATTTTATGGCTGTTATTTAAATAGAGGTAATTTTGTTTAGGTACTGTCTTGTTTTAGCTTTAATTTTTTTTTGTTTAACTTAAAGTTGTTTTTCAAAAAAAAAAAAGAAAGAAAGAAAAGAAGAAAAAACACCTACTGTGTTTGATTCATTTTTTTTCTCATCTGTAGAGCACTATATTGTTTGAAATTCTTTTAGCAATCCAGAACTTGAGTGATGAAAGAAATAAAAAACTCGACTATGGGGCATTTGTGGAGGGCAAAGAGGTCAAGAGAGAGCTGTTTTCTTCTGGGGAAAATTACTTGTATTTACTTCGCTTTAGTTTTTCAAAACTGATTTTTAAAACAGAATGGTTGAAGATTGTTATCTGCCTTCCTTCTTTCCATCTTTATTCCTGTTTTCTTCCTTGTTGGTTTACCTGTGATGTTTGTTTTTGGCTAGCAATTGACATTCTTTTCTGTGAAGGAAGGATTTGTTTACTCAGGGTTGGGATTCTTAGCTTTATTTTAATAATGGAAATGAATTCTAATGTAGCAATTTCAGAGGGGGGGGGATCCACCAGTAATTGCCTAAATATTGTAGTCTTTTGTTTAATGTGGTGGTAACTGTTTTCAGATCAAGATGAATTTTTTAGTGCTTTTCCAAAGGAGAGCATCAATCTGCAAAACATTTTATGATAGTTTTTTGTCTGCTTTGTTCAGTAGCTAAAGAAGTGCTGTAGTATTGGGGCGGGGGGGGGGGCGTAATTGATAGCGATTGTGAATCCTGTGCTCCCATTGTATTAACTCCTCTGCATTGACTGCTGAGTGTGATGAAGAAAACACTGTCCTTGAGCTATTAGTGATCATCCAAAAATTGCCTTGAAAATATTGTTCTTCATTTCATATGACCCCGAATTTGACAAATCTCTAAAGGTGTGAAATGCAGTGAAAATGGGCCACTTAGAGAGAAATTAATGCGCAGTTGAAGACATCAGCCACCATTTTCAATCACTAGGTTGGTATGTGTTGGCAACAGAAAACGAATTTAGAAATACAGATAGCCCTGGGAGCAGGTAGTTAGGGAATTCAGAATATTGAATCATGTGGGCTAGAACAAACCAATTACTTCAAGTTTTGACATGAGAGTTTCCAATAAATAACTCTTGTTTTCCAGTCTTTTCTGTCTGTTTTATTAGCGGAGTAGCATCAAAGCCACCAACAGAACTTCCGAATGTCATAAAAAAAGAACATAAATACATAGATCTCATACATGGCACCGAGAGTTCTAGTTTAAGATGAGCACTTGGAGTTTTTACTGCTGTGGTCTCCACCATCAGCTGAAGCACCAGGCTTCTGAGTGCTTCTCAAAACATGCAGAGGACGGAGCCCTTCAAAACCAGGGTTTACTTGGGGTCAGTGCTTTGTTTGATCAATACTGCAGCTGTGTGCTTTCCTAAAAATTGCAGGGTGTGTTTTAGTGTCCTTAAGTCATATGGGGTATGAGAAAACTGACAGAGATGTGAAGGTCAGAGTAACAAGCAATCTGCAAACCCAAGTCATAAAACGTTACTGTTCTGTTTTCTATAAAAATATTTATGTGACCTAACTTTTGTGAAAAATTATTTAAAGGATAGTTTATTAGCAGATGTAGTGTACACTTGAGACACCATTAGAGACTGCTATATGTGGTGGGCTTAATAATACACCTGTACCCACCTAGGAATGCTCCACTTCATTTTAACAGAAACCTTTACCACTTGCCTAAGTGTTGATAATTAGAACTCAGGTTAGGCCAGTTTTGCTTAAGAATCAAACACAGTTTTGGGAATAGAAGAACTGAGCATCCTGCAAATTGCTACTTTTTAGAACTTTAGAGCCTTGCACTTTGGGAATCATGATTCTTTGGAGTCTGGAAGGGCAAAGGGCTCATTTGACACCTGCCCGCTTTTCAACAGAGCAGATCCTCGTACCACAAGACCACAGTGGTTATAGGGTAGTATGTGGTAGAAGTAAGGTTCATATTCGTGTAGGAAGGTTATATACAAGCATGCCTATTTAGACTTGAAGGTTTCTGTAAACTACTACAAATGGCAGCTGTTGTAGCTGGACGTTAAAAGGACTTGGATTCTTCCAGATTCTGTGGTCAGTTCATCTCTTGTGCTTATAGGTTCACACTGCCTCCATCCATAACTGTTCTGGAACTATTTTGAGCAAAGATTAAAACATTTGTACTTGAAAGCCAGAGGAAAATCATAGGTTGGTTAGCCTCTCAGTTACATAACACTAGCTCTTCAGGCCTACCCAAATGCTCACCTCTGCAAATAATTCTTGATTAAAGGTTGAACAAGTGCTTAATCACTAGATTACTATAATTAGAGTGATCTTATCAGAAAAATAGATGATGGACTCTATTCTCTAAAATCTTCAGTTGCATGAGATGTTCTCAAAGATTGGGTAAAGTAATGACCTTTTCTTTTCTTCCTTTCTCTCTTTTTAAAAATGCTTTAAGAAACAGCTTAAGGAAATGATTTCTTTAATATACAGGTAGATGGTTAATTACTGGAATTAGGTACTGTGAATCCTAACACTTAGTATACTGTCCTTGTGTGGTCACAAACAAGGAGTAATTAGTACCCATCAGACTTCAGGTAGGCACTTGTGTCTGATGTATAGGTTTCCTTAAGCATATGTTATAAACTAGGAAAATTCCTTAGTAATTTTGATGTAAATAGTTATTTTTAGGCAAGTCACAGGCCATAAGAATAGGAAGGTCCAATCAGCTAAAAATACCTTTTTAAAAAAAATCAATACTTTTAGTTCATTGGTCTGATAGACTAAATGCAAGTAATAGTTTGGATCCTTCCATGTTTATTATTCTCTCCCACCCACCCCCCCCCCACGGAAAATACTCTTTGACAAGTACTACCTGGAAAGAATACGTTTAAGGAACCAAACTCGTGATACCTTCAAATAAAGTGCAGTTACTGCAGATGCTTTGAAAATATCTGGAAAGCACAAAGCAAATCCAGATACAATTTGTTTAATTACAACAAAAATACGGCTCTACGAAACTATACTGTTTGTCTTCATAGAGGGTTTTATGCATTTTGTGGTGGTAAGTAAAATCCCATCACACTGGTATAAATTTGTTCAATTACCAGAACAGCTAAAAGAAAAAAAAAATCAATTTAAATTGAAAAGCGGCAGAAATTAGATTACCTTGGTTAGTAGAAACTTGCCAGCATTGTTGAAATTGCTTAATAATATCAAAAGTCACTATGTTTTGCAGTGTGAGGGTATGGGTGTGTTTGCTTACTGGGTGATTTTTTTTTTTTTTAATGCATCCTTTTTTTTCCCCTTTTCTCTTCCCATTTTATTTTCATGGCAGTTGTTACATAACACATAGGAAACTGTACTCTTGGGTGTTGTTTGTTGCAGAGGTTGCTTTTCTAGAATTTTGATCAGTTGATGTTTCGGATCAGTGTCGTGAACTGCTACACATGATTTTAGGAATCTGAAGAAACTTCCTCTATCAGAGAGGGCAGCCAGTTAGCATCCACAGAATTTCTCTCTCTCTCTCTTTTTTTTTTTTTTTTTTTATCACCAACACTAGTGTTATAGGGAATCCTCGATCTTAAATTCCTAGCACAGTAAAATGGTCAGTCATCACTGCTGCAGATAGCTGGGCACCTGCTTTACGGCCACCTTGATTCATTCTGGCACTCAGCTCTGCCCTGGTGTGAGAACAGTCACAAGTGCTGCTCAAAAGCCACCAGGCTGCTTTTAGGTCGTGAAGTCAACTTCCTGGAATTTCTAGGGAAACCAGTTGAAAGGAGGAGGACAAATGTCACTTTAAATAGAGATGTTTAAATCAGATTTCTGCCTGAGGGTAAAATTTAGGTCTGTCTTAGCCCGGATGTAATGTCTCCCTCTGCAGAGCCAGGCATTAGTCAGTGCAGGACAAGAAAGCATAGGGTGAAAATGGGGGGGGGTCCCAATCTGTCCCAGCCATTGCTGTCTTATCTCCCAGATCTGCAAGGAGCGTCTTACATACATTAAAAGGCAGACACGATATGATTTCGCACCCCAGTCTCTGAATTCCGGTGCTGCGATTAGTTCCCTGAAAAGAAGC